TGGGGCGTAGACAGCCTCCCCTTAGCTGCACTGCAGAGTCACAGCTGCCACAATTCAGAACATTGTTTATTATAGTTTATCTAATTAGTTTATTATTCCTTTAAACATATTTTTTAATTTTAATCCTCCCCTTTTAACCAGTCAGTACATAATAATTAGCATTTCATAAGTTTAGGAAATAGAAACTGAATATTAAAAAAACAGACACTGAAAGTCTTCAAGTCTTCTTTTTTTTTTTTTTTGCTCACTTTTTTAAATTAAATTAATTTAAATTTTACTAAAGACTTTTCTTTATAGTCTTTTAGTCACTACCACCACATGTATTATTTTACATTAAGATTAAGTTAGGGTAGTTGGGAAAGAGTATCTTATATATTTTTGCAAAATCTGTATGTATGAACTTTAAATCTGACAGCAAGACAAGTAGGTCTCATTTAACAAAGTTTTTTTCCTTTTTTCCCCCACTGAAAATAGGATCTTTCTCAGGAGAAGTAATCTCCTTGTAATCTCTAATGTCCTTTTACATCAGATTGCAATCTGTTATCTGTGCACAGAGCTTCTCACATAGAACATCAGAGTTCTCTTTTTAAGTCAGGGTTTCATTTTAAGATCAGATAGAAACGATTGCATTATTGATTCTTTACTTCAGTATAGTATTCTGAGTTAAAACTGATTATGTTACAATCCTTTTGTACTCATAACGTTTGGATTTTTAGGAAGGATGATATGAAAAAAGAACCAGCCCTTGAAGTTGGTATTTAGACTAAGAAAATTTTAGGATTTAGCAACTAATCCTAGACTTGGTTTTTAGAAGTTTTTCTGACCTCTTTTGTTACCATTCATGTTATCCGTCTCGGGCAGCTTCACAACGTCTTTGTTCTGTCAATTAACAGACAGATATTTAACAAATACTCCTCATCCGTTTTGTCAACGGGCATCACCAGCAAGCTGTGCTGGATTTTTAGCTCAGAGCTGTGTCAAAGAGGGATGTAGTCCTTTTGCTGGCAAAATGTAACTTTTGTTCTGGAGATAGCACCACAGGTAACATGATGTTCAGGTCTTCCTGGGGAAGAGAGAGAAAAATGCTGTTTTCTATGGATTTTCAAGCTGCTGCGGTGCATGTGATATCAGAGGGATCGGCTGTGTAAAAACACATCCGAAATCTAATGTTCTCTCATGTGGGACTTCTATCTCTAAATCTGCAAGTTGTAGTTTAATCCTTAACACCATGTCACCAAACAGCACAGTGTCTACCTGTAGTCTTACATATTCGCCCACTGACCGATTATAAGACTGTAGACACCTGTGATGCTAATTAGCTAACTCACTCACATGTCTGTTTTTTTAGTTTTTTTTTTTATTTCTTATTCAAACATATTGATGACTTACTTTTTAAAAACCGTTCTGTTGAAACAATGTCTTTGATTTGTTCATTTTCATAGAATTAGTCTGATTAAAGTTATTTCTGCTACCATGGTGGGTTTTTCTTTCACTAAACACTAAAACTTTTGTTCATGTGCTTTCTTCTGAGATTGTAGGGGATAAATTGAGTCTTAAAATCATCTGAATTGATTAGCATTCATTATGAACTATCTTCACCTCGACAATATATAGCGGTTAAATTCTACTCTACTTTTATCTTGTCATGTTTTTCCTAAGTATTGCTAAGTATTATCAACCTTTAAATCTAGAAATAAGCCATGACAGGCAAGGTTTCAAACATTTAATAATTTAGTAGCCTATGTATTTATTTTTGTCCTTTTTTGAAAGAACAAAGCAGTAAGGGTGGGTCATGCTGTGAGAGTTGCATCCAGCCAGACAAAGGGAGCAGGGGCTCTGTAGGTGGGTGTTTGCTAATGCAACCAAAGCCTCAATCCTGTCAAGAACAGTCATTCAGATTAACAGTCTCAGAAATTTAGAGTAAAGGTGTGTGTGTGTGTTTTCTGAAAGCTGGGGATTTCTTGCCTACACCAAAAATACTCAAACATTCAAAATTTGATGGAAACTCTTAAATTACAGAATTTGCACTTGGGCCTAGAAAAGTATAACTGCTCAGTAAAAGGAAAAATATAATTATTAGCATTTCGCAGTGACAAAAGTTAAGATTGTTTATTTATTTCTGTCATTACAACAGAAAAGGCCCAAGTCCTGTTTAAACCGTGGAATTAATGCTAAGCAATGATGACCTGGCATTGCCCTGCGACTGGCAACCTTTCCAGGTTGTACCCCGACTCTCACCCATTGGCAGCTGGAGATAGGCACCAGCCCCCCTCGCGACCACAGCAGGGATTGGCGAGACAGAAAATTGATGGATGGATGAAATTATGACCTGGCAGTCTGTGTTAGCAGCAAAGGATATTGCAAATAGTAAGGACACTTGAGCCAAGGCGGAAGTGCATCAACAGTCCTCATAGTGTTATCAGTATAGTGCGGTATAGTGAGGGCAGTGAGAACAGAGGTAGATGTATGAAGTAGGTTGAATAGGGATGGGGACAGTTCTTTGCATGATCTTACTTGTATGCAGATTTCACCTCAAAGAGTTTAACAATAGCTCATTATATTGTGACATGTAAAGTGTGTTTGAATCTAGCAGCAGTGTCCTCCAAAGGCCTGATTTATCACCAATGACCTCATAGCATAGGGCAGTCATAGCTAAGACTCTTTATGTGGTTAAGTCCATGTCCGGTTAGGTCAGGTCTGGTGTATCCTTCGTAGCCTAGGGCAGGCATCCCCAACCTCGGTCCTCAAGGCCCGCTGTCCTGCAGGTTTTAGAGGTTTCCCTGCTTTAGCACAGCTGATTATAATGATTGCAGTAGACCAAAAGCCTGTTAATCAGCTTTTAATCAAAACCAGCTGTGGTGGAGCAAGGAAACCTCTAAAACCTGCAGGACAGCGGGCCTCGAGGACCGAGGTTGGGGATGTCTGGCCTAGGGTATCCCATGATTCATTGCTAGTCAAAGCAACCTTGCTGCTCCGTGCTCAGAGTAAAAAGGGAAATTGGGATGAACAATGGTGAATATTTTAAGTGCAGTTTAATATGTTACAACTATGTGAATAGCTTCATCTTAAATTAATGAAAATTGTTAATTCAAGTGGTTAGTGAGTCAAATTTGTTTCGCGTAATTTAGGTTTATGGAAAGTTCAGTCCCTGTGTAAATGCATTTGGCTGGCATTTAAGAATGCATTCCAATATCTGTGCAGGGTGTAAACTACCAATGTGATATCTGTGATGATGGTAATGTTGTCGAAGCCTCTGAAAAATGAAATTGGTACACTAAACTGTAAGAGGTTTGGCATCCATTCTTTTTTTTTATGTGTGTCTGTTTTGCCAATATGGCTCTGGGAATAATTGTCCCAGAGACGATTGACTGTTGCCATAAGGTTCCATTTGGTATATGAAACTTTATTGAAAATTATTTGTTGAGTAAAACATAAACAATGGAAACGAAGACAACGAAGGTGAGAAGGTGATGCTGACGAAGGTGAGACTCCTTTAAGTCTGCTTCCACACCTGTATGAGATGAAGGGAACAGAAGACAGAGAACATAAAAAAATAAGACAACAAAGTAGACATGAAGAAAAATCTTGTAGAGCAGCAGGTATGCCTCAGATATCCATGTGTGTGAAAGGCAAAAAACCTATGCTGATTATGCACTATTATCTATGGTGGTATTAAGTATTACTGTCTATCTGTACAAACTTCAAACCAAACTCCCGTGGTATGTATGCATGGGCATGCATATATAAATGTTTATAAGGAATTTATGGAGTTTATGTCATAAGGAATATGGATTAATAGCAGGTGTGGGTGGCCCCAGACTCTTCCTATCGGGCCCAGGATCAATAAAGAAATGAAACAAGCCCCTGATATTTCAAAGGCACCCCAATCACTGGGACACATGGAGGGCAGACATATTGATGGCCACAACAAATCAGAGAAGGGCTAACGAGACCCCCAGAGCCCGACTCCTGAGGACCCATACCCCATAAGGGGTCAGACCCAAAGGCCATAGGAAATGTATGGATCGTTGTATGTTATTATTACACACATGTAATATATATTACAGACACTTTGTTTAACAGTAACATGTTATGAATAAACCTTGAGAAAGAATCTGGCTTGTTATGGGAAGAAGCTATGTCTGGTCTACAAACACCATCCCACAGAGAATTGTGTGGCCTTGAAGGTGAAACAAACTGAGTGAAAAGTTTTATAGAGAGTAAATAGGATAAATTAATATAAAATAGAAGAGAAATCCACATTTTTTGACAACAAGTACTACTATAAAATACAGATGGCTGAAATGCACATGCCAACTACTAGTTGGCATGTGCATTCTGTCTATTTCTTAAAAGGTGTGTTATTTGTTTTTTAGGTCTCTTTCGCCACACTGTACATGATCAAAGTAGCCCAGTACTACAAATGTTAAATCATTATGCTGATGATGCAGTAGTTTCATAGCAACAGAAGATATTTGTACATGGTGTTCTTTTGTCTAATATCAATATTTATTTTCTTTTAATCAATTTCAAAGTGAAATTTCGCAAACTGAACATTTTTTTGAAACAATTGAAGAGCATTTTTCTTGCATTGAGCAAACAGAAATACATTTGAAAATCTTAACTGTTGAAAAACTAAAAAAGTATACTCTGATTTACTATCTCACAAGAAGGATTATTTTGAGTTGCTTATATGAATATATTTTTTTAGATTTGAAGGCAACCCACTCAAAATCCTCCAGTTTTTTCCTTGATTTATCCAGTATTTAGCTAAATGTTTTTTTTCTTCTTTCGATCTCTCTTTATTTTAATTGTAACACTGGAAAAATCATTATCGACATTTCATCTGATTGTAAGCATATGTCTGTCATTTCTGTAGATAAAACACTCCATTGTTTATACATGCTGGCCTTTTCCACTGGTTTTGTTAGAGCATCAGACATGCAAAGGGAGGAGGGATGGGAGGGTCTGAGAGATGGAGAGGAAAAGGGAAAGAGGCAGCAGCCACTCAGCAGCAGGTTAGTGATAGGAGGAGGAGAAAGAAGTAAGGAGAGGGAGGAATTGGAACGAGGGAAACCGTGTGGCTTCAGTTTGAAGCGACACAAACACATGCAGGGAGGTGGAGAACCGGAGAAGAGAGAAGGTAAGAAGGCAGCTTCGCCTATCTGTCAACATTTGCTTGTTTTCAGTGTGAACACAAGGCATCAGCTGCCTGACCAGGCTGGGTAGCTTTACTATTCAGTGAGTGTCTCCCTCTTCTTCCCCTCTCTGCCAGCTGACTGAACACTTGGTGTGGAGAGAGATGTAGCACTGCAGAGAGATGGAGAAGAGCAGGAGGGAGGGAGGGAGTGCAGCATTAGGCTCTACAGATAAGAGGAAGTAGAAAGGGAGATCTGTGAGGAAAACCGGTGGAAACGGGAGGGAAATGCTAACATCTGCCTTTGCCATTCTATGTGGAACTGATAGGATGAATGTAGGGGGGTGTGAAGGAAATCTGTACACGGGAGCGTCAGCTGTCAGCATCTGTAGTTTGCCTCCATAATGGAGATTGTAAGTTTTTGTCTGGCCACACCCTCTGAGAGATGAGATTAGATGATGGGAGGCATTTGTGGCTGGGAATGAAATGGGAAACGTGTGTAAAAGGGATGTTGGATCCTGGCCAAACATGCTTAGTGGTCCCTCCCATTACAGTCAGGGCAGTGGATTACCCGTATATGAGCGGTGAGGAGACCAGCTGAGATGCTCAATCACGAGCAGACAAAGATGTTGTTACACTTAAACATATCTATGTTTGGACACTCCTCACCTAGTTGCATTTCTTCTTGTTTACTATTGATGGCTTTATCTGAGACACTAAATATATCACCAAAGCTTGTAGTGTATAACCTCAGTATAACAGCATGACCGAGCATTTGTTGTTTCAGTGTCTCAGAGCTGTGGGATTTTCACGGAATAACAGACTGCATCTCACGTTAGAGCAATTTTTAGGAGGATGTCTGTAATAATTCCTGAACATATGCAAATGCAGCACAGTAGACACTCCAGATGGCACAATTTGTGTTACTAGCATAAGATATAAACAGAGAGAAGCATGTATTAATAGGACTTGATGACAACAACAAGCTACATCAGACTGATGAATAACTCCAGCAAAACAAAATAGGTGTGGGATTGCCTGGTCTGTCCTTAACTGACTTGAACATCCCCCGCCCCAAAGTTAATTATTTTGCCATTGGATAATCTGCTCTGATTCAAACCCATTCTGCTGCACTTATGCTCCTCCACTCTGAGTGATGTTTGTTGATTTAATCAATTTGTAAATTTTTTGCTTGAAAATTATAGGCATCGGGTTTAAGATTATTTTATACTAACTTTTTATATCCCATAATTATAGAAGCTCTGTTGCACATTTGATTGCAAAATAATTGTAATTAATAAGGGAAACAAAGCTGCCCAGACTAACATCTCCCTGTTTTAGAAGCGAATGAATTAATGCCTTGTTTAATAATTGTTAACCAAATATTCTTCTGCTCTTTGGATAAGCTAATCCTGACTTTTCTAGCCACAAACAGGCCTCATTACCTCTCCTGTAAAATTCAGAATTAAAAAAAAAATAGAATCTGTTTGATAACATGAAATAGGCTTAATGATCTTAAAGGGCAACACATAATGGACAGTTTCATTGTCACAATTAATGCCTGAAGTGCACAAAGAAATATAATGAAGTCTTATGAAATCAATCGGCCATCACTTAGACTTGGAGTTGACAACTTTTATAGTCAATTTGTATACAGAGTGTACAGCTTTCAAAACATTTCCATGAGGTGCAGCAGTGATCAAATGGTTTAGGAGAAAAGACATGGTGTGAAAACACATTTATATAGAAGTTCAGAGCATTGAATATGTAAACAAAAGATATGTAGAATTTTTTTTTTCTCAACACTTCAGCTGTCTGATGGCAGTGGGGAAGAAGTTGTTTCGGAATCTGTTGGACCTGCACTAAATACTGTGAAGCCTCTTCCCAGAGGGCAGCAGGTAGAACAGTCCATGGTAGGGATGTGAGGGGTCATAGATGATGTTACGGGCCCGGGAAACACAGTGCTGGGATGAAATGTCTTTAAAGGAGGGAAGAGGAGACCCGACGATCCTCTCTGCTGTTTTTACCACTCTTCTCACTTTCTTCCAGTCTGAGGCGCTGAAGCTTCCACACAACACAGTGAGACAGCTGGTCAGAACACTCTCTATGGTGCTTCTGTAGAAGGTCATGAGGATGGGTGGTGGCAGGTGGGCTCTCCGCAGGAAATATATGCGCTTTGGTGCTTTGGTGACTCGGATGACACACGCAGCAATGTGTCATCAGAGTGAACACCAGGGGGCTCAGGATGCAGTCCTGAGGGGAGCCTGTGCTTAGGGTGATGACATCAGTGGTGTTATGCCCGACCCGGACTGACTGAGGTCTGTTTGTGAGGAAGTCTAACAGCCAGCTGCAAAGGGGTGTATTGAAGCCCAGCTGTTCCAGTTTTTCCATCAGATGCTGTGGGATGATGGTGTTGAAAGCTGAACTGTCCAGGAACTGCATTTGCACGTGGGTGTTCTTCTCCAGGTGTGCTAGGCTCAGATGAAGAGCGGAAGAGATGGTGTCCTCAGTGGAGGTTTTACATCGGTAGGCAAATTGGAACGGGTCGAATGTTGGGGGGAGATTGGAGACGATGTGTTCTTTTATGTGCCTTTCGAAGCACTTCTTCATGATAGGAGTGAGGTGACCTGAGGCTTCTTTGAGACAGGAATGATGTTGGCAGACTTTAACATTCTGGCCCTATGGATTGGTCCAACGTTGTGTTAAAAATGTCTGTGTCATTGTCTATGTCACCAGCCAGCCTGCACACTTTCTTGGGTTGTCTCTCCACAGAGTTTTCCTCACTTCAGCTATGTCAAGATTGAGTGCCTCATCTTCCTGATGTGGAATAGCTTCCATTGCTGGAGTTCTATTTAGTGCCTCCAACCTTCCAAAGAAGTTTAGTTCATCTTTTAAGTCAGCATCTGCTGCATCTACTGGGGGGAAGGGTGAGTTGTAGTTTGTGATCACGCCCGTATGCCTTGCCACATCTTCCTGGTGTTGCTGGTCTAATGCAAGATATCCTGGATATTCTGGCTGTGGTTCTGCTTCCCTGATCTGATGGCATGGTTCAAGTTGGCACACGCTGTCCTCAGTGCCTCTCTATAGCACAACCTGAAAGCAGAGTTCCGTGTTTTTAGCATTTCCCGAACCTCTCCAGTCATCCAGGGTTGTTCATTGGGCCGGGAGGTGATGTTCTTTGTGATGCTGACGTCCTCTACGCAATTGTTGATGTAGGCTGACACAGTCCTGGCATACTCATCTATATTTATTTTGTTGTCATATGTTGCTGCAGCTTTGAATATATTCCAGTCAGTCACCAATATTAGGATTAGGGTTAGCCCTCGGGGGAGGGGATAAGCAAAATGTTAGAAATTAGTTTTAGGTGTTGATTCCATGGACCTAATGTTTAGGTTTCTTACAAAAGTTCTGGTGGGTGCTGGAGACACTGTGGAGAGTGATCTTGCCTGCAACATCCTTCAGCATAACCAGATTGGCAGTAAGTCAGTAATGGTACGGGGTGGCATTTCTTTTGAGGGCTGCAGAGCCAAACTGTCCAGGAGTTGGTCCCTCAGGAGATCCCTCAGGAGACCATCCACCACCTCATCAGGAGCATTCCGAGGCATTGTAGGGAAGTCATATAGGCATGTGAAAGCCACACACAATACTGAGTCTCATTTTGACCTGTTGGACATTACATCAAAGTTGGATCAGCCTGTAGTGTGTTTTTTCCACTTAAATGTTGTGTGTGACTCCAAATCCAGACCCCCATTGGTTAAAAAAATGTGATTTAATTTCTGAATTTTTAGTCATTTTTTTGCCAGGAATTTCAACTTTGAACAGAACAAAGTATTCAATGAGAATATTTTATTCATTCAGATATAGGATGTGGTATTTGAGTTTTCCTTTTATTTTTTTTTAGCAGTATACATACACCAGAGGTGGGAAAAGTCATAAGTCAATCTCAAGTCTTTCACCTCAAGTCTCGTGTCAAGTCCAAAGTCATGACGGACATGTCCGAAATGACATGTCAGTAATTGGAATTAACCCTTCATCATCTGTTATGCTGCTGCAGGTGGATGTTGACAAAACTGCTAGAAGAAAACAAAAACAACAGGGTATATGAGACTACTTAATGGCATGCATATGATAATATATGTGCAGAGCATGTTCTTCCATTACAACTTTAACACTAATGTCACAGAGAATATTTAGAGGGTGTAACATATAATTAAAGTGGAATACTTAACTTACCCATACGGTTTTCAACATCAGTATTTGGAGGGACACACTATCCTCTGGAATTTTTATGATCCTAAAGAAAGATGAGAGGCAAACATAAGTCAGTTAAAAAATAATGTTACATTTCAATATCACATCTATTTTATTTAAATGTTCTTTTTTTATTTTGTGTATAACATGTTAAGTCCAATGCAAATTTCCCCCTCTGAGCAACACCAAGTTTATCTAATCATCATGCATACTTTTACATACAAGGTTACTAGCAAATACAAACTTATTTTAAAACCTAAACTTATTTTACGCAAAAACATAAGAGGTTCAAGATTTGTTTTCTGTGAAGTTAAACCATTACTATTTAGTACAAATCATCACCTAATTCAAATGTATATGCTATTTATTACATGGTGGTTTTCTAAAACATTGTAAAAATGTCAAATAACATTCATCCCTGAAATTGGAAGATTCTGTTGGTCAGTTCAAACTGATTATGGGGGAATACATATCCCAGATTTAAATTTAGAAAGGTTTTGTATATAAATGTCTTGGTGTAGAATTGAGAAAAAATATCAAAAAAGGAAGGGAAATTGGATTAATCTGCATTTTAATTATATATTTTTTTTTTTACTGAAGACCTGTTGTTTGATAAAGGATGTTATCTAATTGTTAGACTGTTGAGCTTTCTCATTTTAGCAGATAAGGTTTTAATAAGTTTTTAGGCAGAAGCATCATTTATGATTGGAACAAAATGTAAAATAAAACATTTTAGTTTATTTCTGGAACTGTGA